ATGAACTCCAATAGTAATTACAAAATTATTTACTTTTCCTATATTCACCTATTATTTAAATGATATAATCTTAAAAGCATTTCAAACTCACAGAGCTGTCTGGAATTAGCACTACAAAAAATTAGCACCCTAAAGAGTTGTGGATAGAAATTCCATGATGAAAACAAGACTTTTATATAAATCCCTAAGATTTCTTTTCTCTGAAAGGAAACGTTGGGTAGCTTTAGAAACATTCTATTAAGCCTGCCTCCAGAAGAAAAAACCACTTATTTTCATTCTGTATATGTGAACAGAGAAAAAATTATACAAAGGAAGAACATGGCACAGTTTTATCATTTGGGCTGATAGTAACCAGCCACCAGGGCAGCAAGATGATTAGGGAAGTACTCAAGCAAGAAGTTTTAAGAAGATGTTATTGACATAGAAGATTAAGTCAACTAATTCTGGACTTCCTATAAATTACTAACTCTAGCTCTTGAAACAGTGACTAAAATACTTCATTTTATCTCTTCACTATAAAATTTCTACTTTTACAAACAATGCAGTAATCCCAATGATAGCTCAATAGGTGAAATAACTGTCTTATGCTAACTAAATAAAGAATATCTGATGTTATCAAGTGAAGCAGGAAAAACACAACTAACTTCCAGAGAGCATCACATAGTATCCTATGTGAACAGTGCCCTTTACAGCTGTATAATATAAAACCTGTGCAGACATGTATAGTGGCCAGAGCAGAGCCCTTGCCTGTTTTGCTCAGCACTTTATACTCAGAACCAACAAAGTTCCTAGAACAAAATATATAGTGGGGTGAATGAGTAAATGAATTTGATTAAAATCACATGAACATTGAATGGCTACAGAAGTACAAATAAGTGATGCCCTCAACCTAGGCAGAGAAGGAACTTACCTCAAAATTATAAATGCCATATATGACAAACTCACAGCCAACATCATACTGAATGGGGAAAAGTTGAAAGCATTCCCCCTAAAAACTGGAACAAGACAAGGGTGCCCACTGTCACCACTTATATTCAACATAGTACTGGAAGTCCCGGCCAGAGCAATTAGGCAAGAGAAAGAAACAAAGGGCATCCAAATTGGGAAAGAGGAGGTCAAACTATCCCTTTTTGCTGACAATACAATCTTGTATTTAGAAAACCCTAAAGTGTCCACCAAAAGACTACTAGAATTGATAAATAAATTCAGCAAAGTCTCACATTACAAAATCAATGTACACAAATCAGTAGCATTTCTATATACTAATAACAGTCAAGCTGAGAGTCAAATCAAGGACTCAATACCATTTACAATAGCTACAAAGAAAATAAAATACCTAGAAATATACGTAACCAAGGAAATGAAAGATCTCTACCAGAACTACGAAACACTGATGAAAGAAATTGTAGATGACACAAAAAATGGAAAAACACATCATGCTCATGGATCAGTAGAATCAATATTGTTAAAATGACCATACCGCCCAAAGTGATTTACAGATGCAACACAATCCCCATCAAAATACCAATGTCATATTTCAGAGATCTAAGCTTCATCTGGAACCAAAACAGAGACCAAATAGCCAAAGCAATCTTAAGCAACAGGAACAAATCTGGAGGCATCACATTACCTGACTTCAAATGATACTACAAGGCTATAGTAACCAAAATAGCATGGTACTGGTATAAAAGTGGAGACATAGACCAATGGAACAGAATAGAGAACCCAGAAATAAAATCATATAGCCCTCAAGAGTTTACATTATTCATGTAAAAGTAAATAACATGTCCACAAATAGAGATTTTAAAATCCATATCTCAAATTCTGTATGAAACTTCAAACCTAGAATGTACAACTCCCTATGTATTTTAATTTTCATATCACATACCCTAATAAGTAGTCAAGAAACAATAAACAATAAACAGTATGGAGACTTCTCAAACACCACATTCTAAAACTGAGATTTTTCATCTTTGTGCATATTTCTTAAGGAGAAAATTTTTCTAATAGTTAAGGCACGTTTCTATATCATACAGCTATCTTTTAGCAAAATGGAATCATCTCTGGACAACTGGGCCTAACACTATTCACAGATTCAAAGCAGTAGCAGTCACTCTCCAGAACATTCTCCTTTGGGAAAATAGCCATCCTATGGTGTTTACTTTGAAACTCAGACCTCACAATAACTTACTCTGTTGCTTTCAGATTACATTACTCCTGCTATACTGGGTGCTATACTGTTAAGATCATCTAGACATTTAGCCAAAATGAAGATAACACCTACATAGAGAAAGACAGGAATAAATCTACAGGGAAATTTTATTAAAAATTCTAAAATATGATAAAAACTCTCAACAACCTT